CTGCCAATCTGATGACCTCTTTTGCATATGCCGACATCCTTTCGTCCCTGGCTGCAAATTTTCCTGTTGACTGGTTAACAATAAGTTGTGAATTACAAAAAACTATTACCTCATCTACTTCTACTGCTGCTGCCAGTTTTAGCCCTGCAATTAATGCTTCGTATTTCGCTTCATTGTTTGAGGCCTTGAACCCTAAACGGATGGATTGTTCTATTATTTCTCCATCTGGAGATATCAGCAGTACTCCTGCCCCTGCTCTCTGTCGGTTCGAACTCCCATCGACAAACAGTCTGAATGAGTCGCCAATGTAGATGTTGTAGGGTCTGAGTTTTTCCTTTCTTTGCTCTTTTGCCTTTGGCTGGGATTCTCCTTACTTGCTGGGACAATGCTCATCCTGACTCAACGGAGCCCGATGTTCGATGGTTTCGGGCGTGAATTCTGCCACGAAGTCGGCCAAAACTTGGCCTTTAATTGCTGTTCTCGGCCTGAACTCCAGGTCATACTGACCCAGGGCTACTGTCCATTTTGCTATCCTTCCTATTAAGTCTCCTTGTTGCAACAAGGACTTCAGTGGATGCTCTATTAGGACCACAATCTTGTGCACCTGAAAGTAATGGTTTAACTTCTTTGAAGCCGTTACTAAGGTTAGCATTAATTTCTCCAGTGGTAGATACCTTGTTTCTGCGCTGGCCAAGGTTTTGCTTACATAGTAAACAGCCTTTTGCTCCTTTTTTTCTTCTCGGATTAGTACTGCACTGACTGCGTGTTCTGATACTGCCAAGTACAAAAACAGTTCTTCCCCTAGTTTTGGATTGGAAAGAACCGGAGTTGTGGTCAAATACTTCTTCAGGTCGGTCAAAGCGGCTTCGCATTCTTCTGTCCACAGAAAGTCTGTAGCTTTTTTCACCAGGTTGAAGAAGGGTCTGCACTTATCTGAGCTTCTGCTGATGAATCTGTTTAGGGCTGCGGCCCTTCCAGTAAACATCTGAACCTGTTTTGCCGGCGTCGGGCTCTTCAGCTCTAAGATGGCCCATGTCTGGGCTGGCCTCAATGCCCTTTCTTGTTACCAGATACCCTAAGAACTTACTTGATCCAACTCTAAACGCGCACTTTGATGCGTTGAGTCGGAGCCGATATGTTTTGAGTATATCAAAGACCTCTTTTAGGTCGGCAAAATGACCCTTAGATTCCTTGATCTTCACGACCATGTCATCGATGTAGACTTCTATCGTTTTGCTAATCAGGTGCTTGAACATCTTTGTTACTAACCTTTGGTAAGTTGCTCCTGCGTTTTTCAACCCAAAAGGCATTACTTTGTAACAGTGCAGGCCTTTAGGGGTGATGAACGCGGTCTTCTCCTTGTCTGGAGGGTACATGGCAATCTGGTGGTACCCCCTGTATGCATCCAGAAAACTTATCCTTTCATGCCCTGAAGTAGCATCTACTAGCTGGTCAATCTTAAGCAGAGGAAAGCTGTCTTTGGGGAAGGCTTTGTTGAGGCTCGTAAAGTCTACACAGACCCTCCATTTGCCGTTCTTCTTCTTCACCACTACTGTGTTGGACAGCCATGTCGGGTAGTGAACTTCTCGGATGGCCCTGGCCTCCAGAAGCCTGTCTACTTCTTCTTCTACTGCTTCGACGTGCATCAACATCGGTCTTCTGGCTCGTTGTATTACAGGTTTGGCCGATCTGTCGACGTTCAGTTTGTGACATGTGACCTCGGGGTCAATACCAGGCATTTCATAAGGTGTCCAGGCGAACACCTCTATGTTTGTTCTAAAAAAATCTTCCAGTTCTCTTTCCTCTTCTTCGGCTAAGCTTGAGCCGAGAAGAAAGAAGCGCTCTTCGTCGCCCTCCTGGACGAGGATTTTCTTTAGTGTCTCTTCACTCTTTTCGGCTGGCTCATTGCCGACATCATCTAGGACCTCCATGTCCTCGTCTTCAATCTCTGCCTCTTTTAGCTCTCGAATGCTGCAAGTAGACTTCATTGCTGCCATGGAGCAACTTTTTGCCTGCAGTTGATCTCCTCTGACTTCTTCAATCTCATGCTCTGTTAGGAACCGTAGTAGTTGATGCAATGTTGAGGGAACTGCCCCCATAGCATGCAACCATGGTCTTCCCAGAATGATGTTATATGGTGAAGGTGTGTCAATCACCATGAATTCTGTCCTGATCTTCTTAGTGCCAGCTTGTACTTCCAAGTTTGTTGCGCCCAGTGGCCATGTCAGCATTCCATTGAAGCCGACCATCGGGCCATTCGATTGCTCCATGTCCTCTGGGTGAAGGCCTTGCTCCTTGTAACATCTAACGTACATAATGTCACAAGAGCTGCCTTGATCTATTAGGATGCGTTTCACTTGGCACTCCCCAACCTGGATGGATACTACCAAGGCATCATTATGTGGATGCTGGACCATCTCTAGATCAGCTTCAGTGAAGGTTATCATCGGTCCTCGGCACTCTTCAGGCCGAGGTCTTTTATGTCCGACTTGGTTCACGTGCTGCAGATGTTTTACTCTTTGGGTTTCTTCCCGAATGTCGCTTTCGTTCACTTTTTAGTGAATTACATTAACCACCCTAGGTCCCCCTCCCTGTGGTTGTTATGCTGGGGGTGGCGGTGCTGCTGGTGCTTGAGGCAATCTTGCCTGTTCTTCCCTTGTCCTGGCTTCATCGACCAGGTCCCTCAGGTGGCCTTGTCTTACCAGGTCTTCTAAGTGTGCTTTTAAGGCTCTACAACCCTGAGTTGGATGTCCTTCTTCATTGTGGTAAGCACAACGCCTACCAACGTTTCTTTCTATAAATTCCTCTGGTGCTCTTGCCGGTGCCCTAAAATAGGGTTGGTTCCGTATTTGTTCCAGGACTTTATGGATAGGGATTCGGAACACCGTCGTCACTGTCTGTTTACCCTTCAATTCTGTTTCTTGTTTGGTCGGCCCGTTGTTACTTCAGCCTCGTTTCGGCGAGCCGTTTCCCTTCTCCTGCTTTATCTCTTTGTTTCCCGACGTATCTTCCTCGGCTCTGGCGTACTTCTCGATTCTCGTCATGAGTTATTCCATGCTTTTTGGCAATGTTTTTGCCAAAGACTTCCGTAGTGGGCAGTCATTTTTCAGGCCGTTTTTGAAAGACACGACCGCCACTTCTTGGTTGCATTCGGGTATTCGATTGAATACCTCGTAGTATCTCTTCGCGTAGGCCCTAAGGCCTTCTTCCTTTGTGATTCTTAAAGCTATCAGGGCGTCGACCCTCAAGGGCTGTAGTTTGTTCGTCACAAACCTGGCCACAAACATCTCGGCCAGGCCTTCCCACGTCTTTACGCTTCCCTTCGGTAGTCTATGGAACCAATCGGATGCAATTTCCCCAAAGGACGAGGGGAATACTTTGTAGAGCAACGGCTCGTTCCCACTATATAATGCCATTGAATTCAGGTATAGTCCAACATGAAAGTTGGGATCTGACTTACCATCATAAATTTGGAACTTCGACATACTGAATCTCTTCGGCGCTTCAAATTTGTCTAGTTCCACCGAGAATGATGTCCTCGACTTCACTGGGGAAGTTACATCGGCTTCAACATTTTGTTGCTTCCTTTTGAGGTAATCCCTCAAGTCTTCTTTACTCCTACTTGGAGCTCGGCTATCTTTGGACTTCAATCTTTTTGGCACACTACTTTTGGCCTCGTGGTGGGTCCGTTTCGATCTTTCCCCATGGGTTGTGTCGAAGTAGAATGCTTGCCCTTGAACATGCCGATGTTCTTTGGGTTCTGGGTCCTTCGTCTAATACGTCCTTCGGGACTCTTCTCGTCTTGGCTCTTCTCGTCCGATTTCCCTGGAAAGTCGGTGAGAGTGCCTTCTACTCCTGGTGTGCAGAGGGACTTCGGGGATTGCTCTTCTTCCTCCCTTCTGGGTGTTAGTTGCTGGCATCGGCATATCCTGCAGTGGGTATGGTGGCTGCATGACATTATTTTGCATCATGAAGTTGACGACCGACTGAAGGTCTGCCAACTTGTTTGCCAGGTCTTTTACTTCATCATCCCTCCGAATGCACCTATCCCTCCATACCTGAAGGTTGTCTTCGTGATAGTACTTGCCTTGGTCTGTTCTCTTCGATGTATCGCCCTCCTGGCCGATGTCTTTTTCACCGTGGCCTTGGCCATGAGTTTCTGCATTATGGTTGTCTCCTTCAACGTCAAGGTCAATTGGTCTGCCACTCCCCACAGGAGTGTCGCCCCCAATGTTTTCCTTCTGTCCGTTACTGGCCATCTATTTTTCTAAGATTCCCACAGACGGCGCCAAATTGTGTGGGTGAAAATCTGACCACATTGCCCGCCTAGTAATCAGCTGGAGAGCACCGACAGAATAGATGACTTTAGCAAACCTGTAACAGAAAAAAAAAGGCTCTGGCGGTGGCTCTTCCACCCGGGGGCACTCCGACGGTCAAGTCAGTATATCTCTCAAAGATAATCAAGTGCTAAACTCACAAGCTTAAGCATAAAACTGCGTACCTTTGACTCACGGGGGTGCCTCTCTTTTATAGTGTCCTTAATCCAAGTCCCACTAGAGGCCTGACTTCTATGGACTCCAATTCAATACTGATTTTGGACTCTTCAAGAGATAAAGATAAACTCCCTAACAGTTTTATCCTTATCTTGGCTAAGTCTTCTCTTTACTCCAAGACTCTTGTCCCTTATCCGCTTATCTCGGATTCCGATATCTTCGGAGATCACCTCGGCCTCGCCAAAGATAACATCGGCATAACTACCACAACACGTGGCACCTCGACTGACACGTCGGCGTCACCTTGCCACGTGTTGGTACTCAGAAAGATAGGTTGGTTTAATTCACCTTTGTCTTTAGCTTTGGAGGAGGCAACAACATACAACAAAATACACAAGATTTTTACATCTGGGCACCATTTTAAAAAAATAAAAAAAAAAATTGCATCTTTGATGTGGTGTTATAGTTAATTTTCCTATTTTAATTCTAAAAGAGAGAATGAAGAAGAGAGAACTAAAGTTTATGAATACCTTTCATTATAACTTTGGATATCTCATCACATTATGATGCAAATTTTTTCTTTTTTTTATAATGAACATTATCTCTTTGTAAATTGTAATGTCACATAAACGGCCTTTGCAACAACGGGGTAAGGTTGGGTATAAATTGCCCTTCACAGACCCTAATTTCGTAGGAGCCTCCAAGTCGCTCTTTTGTTATTATCTTTTCATGATGTCATCCTTTTTCACGGTGAAATCCCACAGGTCCCCATACTTTTCATTAAATTCCCATAAGTCCATGGTGTTGTAATCAGCGATTAACTTGTCCCGAGCTCCCCTCTCCATATTGTATATCTGGGGTTCGAAGTTGTGAGGCTCACTTGGCTTATCTATCTCTATAATGCAAAAGATTACTGTGAACAAAGCCGCTCCAATGTACAAGTACTCCCCCTGAAAGACGAGATGTGAGAAAAATTTCACTGTTAAGGTGATCCGAAGCCACTATGTCAAATTGCCAAACTTTCGTAACTGTAAAATGTATTGTTAAAATTACCGGAGCATGGAAATACATCCCGGCAGCAATTGCTGGGAGAAATAGCCATGAAATAAGCCCTGGTCCAAACAGAGAAGAACCAAATCAGAAAAAGCTTTATCGCCAATTATCTAGGTTAATGAGTAACCAATGGTTGCCTTGGAAATAATCATTGATACCTTGGAAACCCGTAGGAGGTCCCATTGCTTCATATTCTTCTGCAACTAGACCCCAAAATGTTCCTGAAATGTAAATCTTAGTTAGAAATGGTGGTCCTGTTATGAGTAAGATTGAATTTCCACTGATTGACAGAACTGACAGTTTGATTTGGAGGTGAGAATATAGCCAATAGTATGACTCGATTTGAAGGTCTGAAACTTTATGAGTTATACTCTCACTTAAAATAACAGCCAAAACCAACTCAAGTTTTCAGGTCGGTCTTTCATTTTCTAACCATATAACTAAGGTTTGTTTGAGCTGCTAATTATTTCCCCATTATGGGAACAAGTGGGGTTATATTTGTGTGATGAAATGAAAGGGTAAATATTGACCGAATGACGTGGAAACAAAATGACATCAACCTAACCTCATTCACAGACATAGTGAGAACTGCTTCAAGACTTTAAAATATATAAAGGGTTTTGCAAAATATGTAAAATGCAGAACTTTAATCAGGTTAACACTAAACTCTGAGTACCCATCCCAAATATGATGTGCCAAAAACAGCAAAACATCGACAGAAACCCATTCTGGTGCAAAACTTTTCATAATAAAGTCCATTGTTTTTAATTTTTGCAATAAATAAGACAAACACAAGCACACAATTGTTCTATATTTTTGCAAGAAATAAGACAAACAATTAATCTAATCAATAAAGAGGACTGATTTATCTTGTTTTGTGTTTCAAAATTAGAACCAATTTGTATCTTTAAACTGAATTGTTATATGAGAGTAGAAAGAAAATTCCTCAAAAATTGTGAGTGATTTCAACAAAATATTGAAATGGTTTCCAAAGAGAAGTATTCTACTGCACTTTCTTAGAATCTGATTCAACTATGACAAAACTGGACTAGAATTAGGGAGAGGTATTGGCAGACTCAATCTTAGTCCGACCATTTACATGGCTTATGCTAATAATTTCCATTTTCTAGGAGATTCTAGAGTTAATACATTACAACATGATAGAGACAGTGTAACATTTCTCAATCTGATAAATATAGATAACCGAAATACAAAGTAAAATAATTAGGCATGGAACCCAACAGAGAAACAAAATTACTGCTTGATGTATAAAATGTATTCAACAACTTCCCACTCAAGTCCTTAGTACCTAATCAACACGCTCACATTAAAACTAAATAAGGCCTATATAACCAAACATTGATAGCAAAAATCTTCTCAAATTTGCATTAAAAAACTATCATTTTGAAACATTGATGATACTAAGGGTTGGTTTGGGATGTCCTAAAAAAGTGCACTTTTTGACTTATTGGTGGGTTTGAGTTGGGTTTGGGTTGGGTTTGATGTGATGTGTTAGAGAGGTGATGTGATTTAAATAAGATGATAAAAAAAAAAAACGAAAACAAAAACAAAAAACAAAAACAAAAACAAAAACAAAAAAAAAAAAGGTGTTCCCAACAAGTGACCCCAGACAAAAGAAAAAGATTAAAAATAAAAATAGAAAATAGAAGACTTCCCCTTGAATTCAAAATACTTCCCCTTGACATCAAAACACTTTTAAACCTTTTCAGTTTTCAAACACATTTTACCTCAGTCCCAATACTCCTGTTTGGGGACTTGGGTTTATAGCAAAAAAAAAAACAAATAATGCTAGAGATTTACAATTTGGATCCCTAAATTTACCCATAATGATGTGGCAAGAGAGGCAAGACCTACAAAATTAAGTATTTGACAAATTAAAAGCTACTTGTATCCTGCCACATTATTGTGGATCAAATTGTGGGAGATTTTTTGAGTCTTAATTATTTTCCACAAAAAAATTCTATAAGTTATCAAAATATACTCAATTCCTGTCTTTAATCAATTCCCAAACTAGGCTTGCCAAAAAAAACTAAAAATCAATCACCTTGTTTGGTTCCAATTTTCTGAAAATTAAATTTTTTATTTTCATATATATATATACATATTTTAGTAATTTTTTTTTAATATTTTAAATATATTTTTTTTTTTACTTTTTTAGATACACTTAATATAAATACATTTAAAAAAATAAAATATTTGTGAAAACAATCTTTAAAAAATTTACTAAATATCAAAAATACAAAAAAAAATAAAAATTTAATACATTTTCGCATTATTATTTATTTATTATTTTTTAAAATATTATTTTTTATAAATATTTTACTTGGTTAGCTACATCTAAAAAAAATATTAAAATATTACAAAAGATTCACTAAAAAAAATTTAATTTAAAAAAAATTAAATTCAGAAAATTAGAACAAACAACAAATTTGTACCTTCCTCTTGACCTTCCTGGTAAGTATGGTGATCATCCCACTTTCCATAAACAAATTCTTCCTGCAACCATTAACACAAAATTACCAACAACTCAATCTCTGTCTCTCTGTCTCTATATATATACACACACACATACACACAGAGGACTACAACATTAAAATGCATAAATATACATAAGCGCACACACACACATCTATAAAACGATGAATTGAAGAAAACGTACGGCGCTGACGCCATTAGTGGCCCAACGGTCTTTCGGATCTTCATTGAGGTCAGGCTCAATCTCCGACAATCCAGCAGCATTCAACCTCGTAGTAGACCCACTCCTACTGGGAATTTTTGTGCTAAATCTGAAAGAAATCGAACCTGGGTTTCTCTGAATCGGAACCCTAACCCTAGTTTCACATGGGTCGGTCTTAGAAGAGCCAATTTTAGGGATTGAATTGGCAGAGACAGAGATAACAGAGAGTGCAGTTGAACCCGCCATTTTCATTGCTCTGTTCTTGCTGAGTGTCTTGACGCTTCTAATGGTCGAAGTTACGGTAGGATGATGTTTAAGTGCCTATGATTTCTGTAAAATTTATAGCAAGGTCCAATGTAATTACACCACGTATGCACAATCGCTTTTTCTTTCTTTTTTCGCATTTTTTTTGATTTGTCTGTGATTTAAGCGTACAAAATATTTGGAATATTTTAGGAAAGTCGAATGAATGATGGGGATCCATTGCGCCCCTTATCCATTTTGGAAAGCAAACGACTCGTTTTCTGAATTTAGGTTTTTGGAAGTTGAATTTTTATTTTTTGTGGTTTTTAGTTTTAGTGAATATTTCTAAAAATTTAAGTAATTTTTTTAAAATATATCTTATTTAGATGTATTTAAATAATAATGTGTGGGTGATTTTCTGACCACACTGCCCGCTTAGTAACCAGCTGGAGAGCACTAGCAGAATAGATGGCACCTGACTGACCTGCAACAAAAATATAAGAATCCCGCGGTGGTTTCGACCACCCGGGGGCACTCCGACGATCAAGTCAGTATATCTCTCAAAGATAAATCAAGTACTAAACTCACAAGCTTGAGTATCAAAAAACATACCTTAGACCCATGGGGGTGCCTCTCTTTTATAGCCAATACAATCCTAGTCCCAAAAGGAGCCTGGCCCTAATGGACTTAGGATTACTGCTAATCTGGGACTCCCAGTGGGATTAGGATAAACTCTCTAAGAGTCTTATCTTTACCCAAACTGAAGTCTTCTTCCAATCTAGGACTCTTGTCCATATCCAAGTTGAGTTCCCCCTTCATTCTAGGACTCTTGTCCCTTATTCGCTTATCTCGGATTCCGATATCTTCGGAGGCAACCTCGGCCTCGCCGAGATCACCTCGGCGTCACGACCAGGACACGTGGCACCTTGGCTGACACATCGGCGTCACCTTGCCACGTGTTGGTATTCAGAAAATATATCCCCACAAATAAAATATTAGTGAAAAATAATTTTAAAAATTAATAAATACACAAAAATATGAAAAATATATTAAAATTTTGTATTTTTTATTTATATTTTTAGTATTTAGTGGGACTAAATGGAGCATAAGAAAACTTTTAGGACTAAATGGTTCAACGTTTCAAAAACTAGGACTTATGGGTAAATTTTCCTATATTTATTTATATTAGGTGTGTTTAAAAGTTTAAAAAATTGCTTAAAATATTAAAAAAATTCATTAAAAACAAAAAAAAATACGAAAAATAAAAAAATAAAATTTTTTGAAAAATATTTTCTAGAAATCAAAACCGAACAAGTTGATTATTGTTATTGAATTGAATTTTTTTATTTTCACTGATTTTTTAATATTTTTAAATTTGTAAATAAGTTTAATAAAAATGTAGTTAAAAATTAAGGTGAATTACATTAACAATCCTTATAGTTTGGAATTCGTGTCATTTTGATCATGACTTTTTAATTGTGACATATTTGACCTTGAATTTTGAATTTTGTTCTAAATAAAGAAAATTGAATATACTATTACTCAATTTCAAGGGGCAAAAGTCATCAATTTGATAAAATATAAATTAATTTGACAAAAATAAATATCAAAAAAATATTTTTGAATTTTTGAAAATAATTTCTAACCACCAAAGATAAAATTATGTAAATTTGAAAAATCCTTTTGATATTTATTTATTTTACCAAATTAATTTTTGTTATGTGTTTGGATAATGATCATGTAATGAGTGATTGTTAGGCTTTTAATATGTAATCGATATATTTAATATATGAAATGTTTTTAGTTTTGGATTTTTTGATTTAATAGATTGGTTTAATAATGATATCAAAGTTATCTTCATATTTAAATTTTGAAAAAATATAAATTAATTTAATGAAAAATAAAATAAAAATAACCATTCATGACATGATCATTATCCAAACACATAATAAAAATTAATTTGATAAAAAAATAATAAATATATAAAAATTTTATCAATTTTGCATAATTTTATCTTCAATGCGTATAAATGATTTTAAAAAATAATTTTTTTTTGACATTTATTTTCGTCAAATTAGTTTATATTTTCTCAAATTGACGACTTTACCCTTAAAATTGAGTAATGTTATCTTCAACTGTCCTTATTTGGAACAAAATTTAAAATTCAGGATCAAATGTGTCACAATTAAAAAGTCATTGATCAAAATAATACAAAGCCTTAACTATAGGAATCGTTATTGTAATTCGCCGTAAAAATTATAATATTTATTAAAAAAAAACTTTAAACAATTCACTAAATATAAAAAATATAAAAATTCAATATATTTTCGTATTCTTGTATGTTTATTGATTTTTTAAAATATTTTTTATAAATATTTTACTTTTTAGGTACGTGCATCTAAAAAGTAAAAAAATTGTTTTAAATATTAAAAATAAAAAACTTAATTTTTTAAAAATTAAATTCAAAAAATTGGAACCGAATAAGATAATTATTATTATTTTTTATTTTTTTATTTTAACTAGTTAGAAACAAACCTAATCTAATGAGTTTTTGGTGATAATCTAAATAAATGTATTTATTTGGGTTACATATTACTTCTCTATTTTTATATAACTCTTTGGCATATTTTGAAAATTGAGTTAAAAGTCAATTTTTTGACTTTTTTTATCACAACCACCTCTTTATTTTTTTACATATATTTAAAAAAAATAAAAAAATTTAACTTTTAACTTACTTTTTAAAATAGATAAAAATTCAAAACGTACACTAAATAAGCAATTCTAATTTTAACTATTTAATTAAAAAGAATACTTCAATGGATGAGAAATTACAATTCTTTAATTGAAAATAACATTTTTTTAAGCACTAAATATTGTTTAACAGTCTTATCAACTGTTGTTAAATAACATTCAGGAACGCTGCCATTCCACGGGAAAAGAAAAATAAAAATAAAAACAAAAAAACAAAAACAAAAACAAAAACAAAAAATGTCTAGAATTTTCTTTTGATGATAATGATTAAGAATGAACACTAAAAAGGTATTTTGTAAATAAATTAGGCCGAGTTATGAAAAGTCTTCTTTGTAAGTTGGGCCGAGCATTGGACCGAGATAAGAGTTGGTGTAACTTGGCATTAACCCAGAGAAACATCTCATATTTCGGATTTAGGCCGCGCTATGGGCCGAAGTAATTATTTATTTAGGCCAAGTTTGGCTACAAAGAAAAAAGTGCACTTATTTCATCTTTTTATCTTTTTTTGGTCACATCAATCAACATCTCCTCTCTACTTTTTCTACACATAATACAAAAAAAGTCAAAAAGTGCACTTATTTAGTCTTCCCAAACTAGGCCTTAGTACGGTCTTGGGTCATCTGAATATTAGGTCGGTCAAAGATAGGCTATCAGTGGCTTGACCTTGATATCCCAAACCGAGGTACTAGTGGAGGGTTAACCAAGTTGAAGGATAGCCTTACAGGATGTTATCTCGAAATTGAACTATCAAGTGTTGCTTAAAGTCTTGCCGAGCTGTGTGAGCTCGGTTAATCGCATTATCAGCCGAGATAAGGGATTCAGCCAATTCACTTGGCTTGCAGTGATAACACTCTTAGGAGGACTTTGCCAAGGAGAGTAGAGTCCTATTAGGATTGTGTAAATCATTTCACTTGGTTGGTAGTGAGCAGGTTTTTTAAGCACTACATAACATTTTTTTAAGCACTAAATATTGTTTAACAGTCTTATCAACTGTTGTTAAATAACATTCAGGAACGCTACCATTCCACGGGAAAAGAAAAATAAAAATAAAAACAAAAAAACAAAAACAAAAACAAAAACAAAAAATGTCTAGAATTTTCTTTTGATGGTAATGATTAAGAATGAACACTAAAAAGGTATTTTGTAAATAAATTAGGCCGAGTTATGAAAAGTCTTCTTTGTAAGTTGGGCCGAGCATTGGACCGAGATAAGAGTTGGTGTAACTTGGCATTAACCCAGAGAAACATCTCATATTTCGGATTTAGGCCGCGCTATGGGCCGAAGTAATTATTTATTTAGTACGGTCTTGGGTCATCTGAATATTAGGTCGGTCAAAGATAGGCTATCAGTGGCTTGACCTTGATATCCCAAACCGAGGTACTAGTGGAGGGTTAACCAAGTTGAAGGATAGCCTTACAGGATGTTATCTCGAAATTGAACTAGCAAGCGTTGCTTAAAGTCTCGCCGAGCTGTGTGAGCTCGGTTAATCGCATTATCAGCCGAGATAAGGGATTCAGCCAATTCACTTGGCTTGCAGTGATAACACTCTTAGGAGGACTTTGCCAAGGAGAGTAGAGTCCTACTAGGATTGTGTAAATCATCTCACTTGGTTGGTAGTGAGCAGGGTGTGTGATTCCTAGAAGAATTCCTCTAAGAAGAGTTGTAATCCTACTAGGATTGGGCCAGGCAAAAACTATAAAAGCTCTCAACAGAACCTATGTACAGGTAACACAACTTTGATTCCAGAACAGACAGAGCTTTTGTCTATTTGTCTATTTTGCTGAGTTAGGTATCGGAGAGGTATCCTGTACATACCCACCGGCTAGCTCACGTTTGTGCTTTCAGGGAGTAAAGTGACGACATTTGGAGGAGCGCAGACTTGATCAACAGAATTATACGAGAAGATAATTTCGTGCATGTACAAACACCACAACAAAAAAATATGCATCATAGGTCTCATTTCCTGACAATTATCTGAATATTTTTTCTGAAATCTTAGACTCTTTGATAAACATTATTTAAAGTAGTAGAAATTATTATCTCCCTCCTATTTTTTTAAATTTCAAGTATTAATATCCTCCTCATAAGCTCTACTTTATTTTATTTTCTTCGTAAGCTCTACATTTAAATTTCAAGTAAAATCTCAATCATTTTTCCTTTTATTTTCATTCTTTCCTTCAAACCCTTCTAATGGATTGCTCTTCCTTTTTCATACTTCATTACAATTCAATAGATATGCCCTTTGACCACAACTCTACCACCAACAATTAACATTACAAACTCACACCGTTTTACCACCGGGGGTGG